TCTTTTTAAAATGAAGGAACTGCTGGATAATAGATTCAGCTTCCTTTTAGGGTTGTTCTTACTTTGCATTGTTATAGACTTGGAGTAGCTGTGCTAATTTGCATCCCTTTTCCTCCATTATTTGTTTCTTCGTTTCCATTTTTATTACAAACAGTATATTAGTTTGAAGTTTGAATGATGATTTGATTTTATTGTTTTCCAATATATTTATGTATGAAACATGGACAACAACTTGAGTGCTAGTATGGTTGTAACTGTATTGCAGTTCTGGCGTTCTTGAAAATCATAGCATTGAAGGCTTGAGATAATGTGGCACTGTTCAGAATTGCATTCATTGAGTGAATATATTAAGGAGTGTGTGTTGGTTGTGAATCTTGAGTAAAATTTTTACCATTTTATATTTAATTTAGTAGATATTGTACAGCAAGAGGCAGTAGGTCACGCTTGTCTATTTTGATACACTCTTTTATGCTGGTGGGAACATGATAGTGATTTACCTTTCTATGCTTCATAGTCACATTTTTTATCCTTGCTATTTTTTTTTATTTTGTTTTTTTATGTTATAGCAACAATATCATTTAGTGCTGATCACCTGCTTCACAAATCCTATTCTGGTTAAAGCGGAATATAAATGTTTCACCTGACACTGTTAATTGAAGATACATCATTGATGTATACTCAAGGTTGAGCAGAGCACAGCCGCCTCCCCTGTAGTTCCTATTTCTGTGTTTTAATCTGTTGCTGTTGTTGTTTGAGTGTATAGTATATTATTTTTTGATTGAAGAAGTATTATTTCAATTAAAGTAATTGCAAAGTTAAAAGGTGGTCAACATGGAGCGCACACTGATTTTTAAGTTATTGTATGACTGGAAATTATCTATGCTGTTTTATCTCAGTTTTGATCTGATAGTAGCTTCTTTTCAAAATGTCTCTCATGGTATAAAAACTACCACATGCTGTTCACTGCATATCCCAACTACTTTTCATTATTTCTTTGAGTGAAGATGATGCTCAAATTTATGTTTGTAAAAGCCTAATACAAATATCTTATTGCATATGAAACCTATGTTTGAAAGGGAAATACACTTGATGGCAGGGAACCCAGAGTGAGAGCATGTGTAAGGAGTCGTAAAAGCTCATGGAATAATGGAATGGAAGAAAGTTAGCATATTGAAGACTAATAGTATCAACCCTTTGATTTCTTCCTCCTCAACAACTAACCTTTAGCTTTTAATCAAACTTCATAGGACTGAACTGTAAAGAGTACTTTGAGGAAATAGTCAAATCTGATGCCTAGTCTGGCCTTTGTGACTTAAAAATATATTCTTTAAAATGTATTATAAATAAATATCACTTAACTCTTATGTACTGGCATCAAACGTACTTATTTGGCTGTAAGTTTATGACTATGACATAGTGTGAAGTGATGTAGTACAACCCCTTTATGTAAAGTTTTATGTAATGTGTAAGTATATTTATGGTAGAATTTTTTTAGAAATAGTGCTTTAGTTCTGTTTTGAATAATGATATCTTTTTCACACTTTACCTTTCTTCATCTTTTATAATTGAACAGTGAACTAAATATTTAGAGAAAGTATGTAAGCAATTAAAAGGTTTATACTCTGTTTACTCTCAATGTGAGATGAAAAGGAAAAGGCAAATAAAATTGTCAACACGTACATGTGGTACTGTCATTACCCAGAAACAACCCTGCATTTTCATCGTTTCATTGGTTTGAATTCAAAATTAATTTGATTTGGTTAGGGGGCTCAAGTGTGCAAGACCGAAGAAAGTGGGAGAGGGGCTATAGGTTGACAACATGAGAAATGATGGCCCACCAGGCGGCAGGGCTTCGGATGGAAGAGAGAGAGAGAGGGCAAATAGGGCTTGGTGGTCCATTCAGCCGGTCGGATGAGAGCGTAGGGAGGGGCGGGGGCGGGGGCGGGGCCCGGGTAAGCCTACGGTCTGTGCGCCAGGCTGTCCATCCCCCACTCCCTGGGGCTGTGTGTGGCGTAAAGGACGCCGATGCCTTTGGTATCGTGTGGAGGAGGGAGAGGACGGGGCGAGAGGGTGGTGCAGAGATAGCGGGAGGGGAGGGGAGGGCGGTCATGGTGCTGGCCCATCCTGGGCCGCGGGCCGCGAGGCGACCAAGGCGATAATCCAGAGGCAGCAGTAGGAGCAGCTCGGGCAGCCCGTCGACATCGCGGCTAGGCCTGGCCACCCCGCAGTTCGCCTAACTCGGACAGGAAAGGGCAGTGCAGTGCGCCGTCGTGCCGGGCTCCTGCAGGACGGGCCGCCTGGTGCGCCCTGCGCCCCCGTGCCCGGGCACCTGCTGCACGCGCGGCCCCGCCGCAGCCCACGAGGTCCTCGCCAGCCAGGACGTCCGCGGGGCGAGCCGCTGGGAGAGCTGCCTCGACTGGACTGGACCGCGCAGAAGGCAGAGCCGCCATGCCCAAGCTGGCGGTCGGCGGACATGGCTGATGACGAGGATGGAGACGACGTGGACCTGCGGCCGCCTCGCGCCGAGAGGGCGTCCCGGTGGTCCCGGTGCAGCGGGCCGCTGCCTCCTCCGCGCCAAGCCGTGGCTCATGCGTGCGGGATTGGTGCCTATTAGGCCTGATATGGATTAGGGCCTGTGAACGACCGGGAGCGGGGCGCAGCGACGTGAGCGATGTGGTGACGAAGTAACCGCGTGACGCAGTCGTGCCCGCCGCCCGCGTGTGGTGCGTAACGGGCGTGACACGAGTGCATCGGCCAAGCCCTGGGCGGGAGCGTGACAACGAGACGAAGAGCGTGATCTGGTCGTGACGACGGGTTGCGTCAGCGACGTCAACGGTGTCAGCAGACGGCGCCATTTCATGAGGTAAACTTGTGTACGGTTTTACGGGCCGCGGTGGCTCACAACCTCACAACACAACACATCGTTTGGCCGCTCCGAGTGGGGGCGGGCGGGGCAGGGCGGGAGGTGCGGGTGCGACGGGTGGACCATGGGCCGGCGGCCCGAGCCTGAGGAGCCCATTTGTTGTGCTGCGGCTCAAACGACTGCCATCCGGATGAAACGGACAGAAACCAGATGACGACCGCAAGCCCCAGGGCCAGCCAGGACTCTCCTGGAGCGGGCGCGGGCGTCGCCATGCGCGGGCGTTTGTCTCTTTCCATCCATCCCCTAGATGTGACCCGCTGCCCTACGACTACGCCAACGACAGGCTAGAGCAAAGGTGCAGCGAGTGTCCTGGACTGCCTCGGCGTTCAGGTCGCTCGGCGCGGTCGCAGAGACGTGGAGGGGGGCCCGCGATCCCCCTCTCCCTCCCTGTTCTAGAATAGTTTTCCTGCGCCGGGACTCGCTCTGTTCGCTAGGCGATAGTCGCGGCCACCAGGCGGCCACCGCGCCGAGGAGGTAGCGCGGACTGGTCGCGCCCGCACGGCTGCCCGTTCGCTCGGGCTCGGGCTCGGTCAACCTGGGACAGGACGGGCAGGGGCAGGCAGGGGGCCGGCAGGGGCGTCGATCCTCGGCGCGCTGGCGGCGCGCGGCGGCGCGGGGTGTCGGTCGTTGTTTTGTTGTTGCCTCGACCGCGGCGATGCCACGCCGGGGCGGGGAGCGGAGGAGCGGGAGGCGCGTCTCGGCGTGGAGGGGAAAGAGGGAGGGGAGAGGGAGGGAGGGGGTGCCCCCCGCAGGGACGTGCACGGGCATCGGGACAGGCTAATGGCTAATCGCTGAAAATTTCTGTCGCAGCTGTCATAACCCTAGCGACGATAACGTTGAACGAATTACGAGAACATTATAGTTTCACGCATATTTCGCAAGCGATATGTTTTAAGGACTTAGTGCACGCCGTTAGCACTGGTCGGCGCCAAGGTGGCGGTGTGGAGGGGAAGGCGAGGGGGCCCTGATGGCCTTATCGCGGTGCCCGACCCGCCGGGGCGCAGTTTTGCGGCAGAGTAGACTTCAGACGCCTCGCACGTCCGCGGCCAGGAGCCCCGCGACGAGTCGAGTCGAGTCGAGCCGAGCCCGAGGCCCTCCTGTCTTTGCCCCCGCGGCGTCAGTGTGCGCCTCCTGCGCACGGGCTGCTCCCCCGCCCAGCCCAGCCCCTCGCGGTACCAGCCTCGCGGGGTGATCGGTGAGCTAATGCCTTCCGGATAAAATGTGTGCCGTCGCTGGTGTCGGAAGTCGAATCACCGAGCAACCATAGTGTGAAGCATTCCCGGTCGTTGGAATTGTTTAAATTTTCCCGCTAACTCGCAGGCAGAAAATTCCGAAACTCGCTATCATGGTCGATGAGTGGGGCGGGTCAAGCCGGATCGGCACAACGCATTCACTGCGTCCAAGTGTTTCCTGGCGGTTTCGCTGCTCGCTGATAACGCGATTATACTTGTTCGATACGCGTGAGTTCGGCCGAACTTGTCGGAGGCGGTTGGGATTACTTCTCGCGGGGCCCTCCCGTCCTAACAGTCTTGAGACGTTTCGGGTCTCGGGCCCGTGTAACTTTGTACGGTCACAGGCAAAGAGGGTAAAATGTACATAGCGCGCGACAGTTGAGGAGCGAGGCGCGGCTGAATTTTATTGTGTTTGCCGTTTCTGAGCTGTTGTGATAAGAGATTAACGTGGCAGACAAGTGCAGCGGCTGCGGGCGCGCGCGGGCCTACAACACCACAGCGGTGTCACACTACAGATTTATCAGCCCGTTCTTCCCTCGTCCTCCTGGCGCGGAGGGCGCCTCCTCGTGAGAAGTAAGTCCCCCCCTGGTCTCTGCCCAGAGCGTCCTCGGCGCCAAGCTCCGTCGTGCGTCCTCGGCGGCCCGCAGACCCGGCGGCGCGCCGCTCCCCAGTGAGTGTTCCATGTAAGTCTTTGACTGAATGCACCCGCGGCATACCCACCACCGGTGAGGTCGCACCCGAAAAATACTCAGTTTGTTGCATTTCTCGTGCCGCCCCGCAGAAGGACGGCGACTGCATCCTGCTCGAGGACGACGACGAGGATGAGAAGGAGGAGCCTCGCAGAGCAGGGTCGAGCCGCCCGCGCCCGGAGCCATGATGGCTGAGGATGGCGCGCCGCGCCACGCCAGCACGCTGTCCTCCCTCAACATAGTCCACGAGCACAACAAGCTGAACGCCCGCACCGCCCGCACGCGCGTGCACGAGTTCCCCTTGCGGTAGGTACACGCGGCGCCGGCCCGCCCGGCCCGGGCGCCTGGACGAGGCGGAGGTAGGCAGTCCCGTTACGCACACGTGAGTGCGGGTTGCCTACCCCGGACCTGTCAGGCTGAAAGGATCCGTTTTTTTATTTTTCCTTTTTTCAAAAAGTTTTAAATGACATGCGGTGCCAACGGTTCCAGGAAGCAAGGGGCAGTGATCTCCCTCTCAAGTAGCCGGGAACGGGATGTCGTCTCCGGAGACACGACGGTCGACGGGGAGTCGCGCAGAGAGCCCCACGAGCGAGCCAGGAAGGTGCGCAAGATCAGCAGCTTGTCCGTGCCAGAGGGGAAGGACGCCAAGGACGCCCTGGTGCTGCTGCACAACGGGAACCACGGCGATGGAAACTGCTACCTGGCCGAGGACTGCGCCGAAGAGGATGACGACGACGAGGAGGACGTGGAGGACGGCGACGAGGACACGGACGTTGTCGTCGTGGAAGGCGTGGATGAGACGGCAGGACGCCGCGTCCCCGACGGCGGCTGGGGATGGGCCGTCGTTGCCGCCGCCTTCTTTATCAACATGGCCAGCGACGGCATCTCCTTCTCCTTCGGACTGCTCTACATCGAGTTCCTGCGGTACTTTGGCCAGAGCCGCAGTGACACGGCGTGGATCGGCAGCCTGTTCATGGCCGTTCCGATGCTCACCGGACCGGTGGCCAGCGCCATGGTGGACAGGTAGGAGAGGCGCACAGCAGCCAGGCGCGTTCACGTCATCGTGATGGAGTCCGTGGACATCATGAGGGTCTTCACTGTCGACAGGTACGGCTGCCGCGCGATGACGATCGTCGGGGGCGTGATCTCGGCCATCGGCTTCGTGATCGCGTCCTCGGCGTCCACCATCGGCCAGATGTACCTGACCTTCGGCGTCCTGGCGGGCCTGGGCCTGGGCCTCTGCTTCATCACCGCCGTTGTCAGCATCGCCTTCTGGTTCGAGCGGAAGCGCACGCTCGCCATGAGTCTGGGCGCGGCGGGGACGGGCTTCGGCACCTTCATCTACGCCCCCATGACCAACTACTGCATCTCGGAGTACGGCTGGCGCGGCACGGTGCTCCTGCTCGCCGGCACCTTCCTCAACCTGTGCCTGTGCGGGGTGATCATGAGGGACCCCTCCTGGTGGCTGGCCGAGCAGGCTGCCCACGGCGGCCGGCGGCGGGGCGCGCTGGGTCGCGGCGGGTCCGCCCAGGACGGCTCCAGGTCGGTCGTGCACGACGGGGCGTCGGAGGCCAGCGAGCTGCTGCCCCTGGCGCCGCTGCCGCCATTACCGCCGCTGCCACCACTGGCCGTGCCGCTGTCGCGCGTCGCCAAGAGCCTGCCCTACACGCGGCCCATGACCATGGCCACGCGGTCCGAGGACAACCTGGCGAGCATGAGCGCCTGTCTGCCACGCCACGCCGTCAGCGCCCCGTCCACGCCCAGCACCCCCATCAGCCCGAGCGGGCTGGGCATGCCGCCGGCCCCGCTGCTGGCCTTCAACACCATACCCGAGCTGGAGGTCCCGGAGTACGGCCTCGACGACGACGTGACGGGCCATGTGTGCAGCACGCCGCTGCTACCCGGGCCGGCCGCCGTGCGCCCCTCGCACCTGCCCCTGGTGCCGGGCGGCTCGGTGGCGGGCGCCGTGGCGGGCGTGGTGGCCGGCGCCGTGCACATGCCGGGACACGTGCACGGCCACGTCCACGGCCACGTGCGCCGCTGCAACTCGTCCAGCCCGTTCGGCAGCAGCCCGCTGCGCGCCGAGAGCCTGCCCTGCTTCAGGCGGAGGGTGAGCCTCAGCACGACGCCCGGCACGCCGCTGTACCCGGCGCCGGCGGCCTCGTTCGCGCTGCACCGGCGCAGGAAGTCTTCCTTCGTGCCCGGCCGCTCCTCGTGGCAGTCGTGCTGCCCGCCGCTGTTCGGCGGCAGCGGGGAAAAGGACAGCCAGGAGCGGGTAAGTCGCGTGGGTGCGTTCCTCGTGGAGCTCCCGCCCCACGCCGGCCTCAGCTAGGGGTGGGGGGCACCAGGTACTAACGCCACCCTCATGCGCAGCGCTGGTACTCGACCACGGTGGAGCTGGTCCGCGCCATGATGGACTTCTCCCTCTTCCTGGAGCTGCACTTCCTGCTCATGTCCGTGGGCACGACGCTGCTCTACACGTGGTTCGTCGTGCCCTACTTCTACCTCGCCGACCACCTCATCGAGAACGGCTACACCCAGGCGGACGCGTCCCACATGCTCGGCGTCGTGGGATACGCCAACACCTTCGGCATGGTAAGGACGACGCGGCCGGGTCCGCGGGCCGCCGCGCTCGGTAGGCAGCTCATCCTGCAGTGTCCCCGCCGCGAGCCGCGAGGAGAGAGAGAGAGAGAGAGAGAGAGAGGAGGGGCGCTGCTCGGGAAGGGGGAAGGGGGCGTGTCTAGGACTAGCTCTTCTTTTACTATGACTGTTTTGTTCTGTTGCGCCGGTGAGCGGCCGGGCGGCCAGAGCGCCCAGGAGGTGAGCCTCGCGGTGTTCGAGTTTCCTCCTCGTGCGCGACTTGGCGGCGGCGGCGCCTCCCCTTTCCCCCTCCTCCGCCCGCCCTTCCGCGCCTTCCTCCCTGACAGGTGGTTAAAGAGGAGAGAATAGAGAAAGAGAGCGCGCTCGCCGCGGAGAGGAGAGAGGAAGCTAGGCGAAGCGAGGCGAACGAACGGTTCATCCCGGCCCGAGCTCGAGCCCGAGCCGCGCCATCCTCGCGCACGGCTACGCCGCGCCGCCCGAATCCACTCACTTTTCTATTTCTTTCTGCAGTCGTTGTTGTTTCTTGTTAGTCTTCTTCGCCGCGCTCTCCGAGCCCCGGCTAGCAGCGGCGCAAGGAGATGGCCGCGCCCGCAGAGCGCCGTGCTTCTGCCCTGGCTGCATTGCATTCCTGTGCCGTGGCGGGGCGTGGCGCGGCGCCACACATGGGGTTGGCGAGAACATTTCACCTTTCGTGCAAATTGAGAGAAACCACCGGTACTTACCGTGGCTGCCGCATGGTAGCTTTGTCCACAAAATTAGCCCGCGCCACAGTGTATTTAACGCGAGGTACTGTAATTATCATCACTCATATTTTCCCTCTTTTTCTTCCCACCCTTACTACTGACAGGCAAGGAAGCAAAAGTAGTTTCAATTCGGTAAGGGCTTTAAACTTTCCCAAGTCGTTGAGATTAGTCATATCGCGCGAGAAATCGCCATAAATTGAGATTGTAGCGATTTATGGTTAACACCAACCCTCGGCGGGGGGAGGGGGTGGTTACCTGAAGCGTGGCCGACTAGTGCTACTCACAGCCCGTCACTTGGAAATAAATTACCCGAACAGTTGTGCCGAGAGCTCCCGTGGTTCATCAACGCCCCCCTGCTGGACGACCCGACCGCCGCGGACGGGGGGCGCTGCCGACGCCGCCACGTCAAAGACGTACCACCACCTCGTGGTGAGAATGTGTGCCCCAATGGACGCGAATTGGTAGCCGGGCTGCAGCAACGCCGAGGAGTTGGACTGGGACGGACGGGGCTCTGCCGTGGGCTTTGCTGCTGCCTCGCCTCTCTCCCGCCTCTCTCTTCCCCCCTCCTCTCTATCCTAGCCATCGCCATGGTGCACCGAGCCCCGCCCCGCCCCGTCCTCTGCCTCTCCCTTTCCCCTCGGCCCGGCCCCCACCATCTCATCTGCCCTGCTGCACACCCTCCTCCCCCATTCCCCGCCGCCTGCCAACGACGACGGCATCCAGGACGGCGATATTCACCGGGAGATACCCGTTCCTACGGCCGGGTTCACTTCGACAGGCTGGTCACTCCGACGAGCTGACCGAAGCAAGTCGTACAAAAGCCACCCGGGGCGCTGACGTCCGCGCCCCGCCCCCACCCCCTTATAACGACATGGCGCGGTGACAATTAGAGCGCCACGCAGTCAGGGACACCAACACCAACCCCGGCCCCGCTCAGCACCGAGCCGCCTCGAGATTGTTTGGGTGAAGTTGTCGGGCCGGGCGAGGTTGGCAGGCCCCGGCCCGCGGCCCCCGGCCCCTGGCCCCCCTGCTGCCCGCCGGTGGCGCGCCGCACCCGCGGCAGGGCAGGGGCGAGCCGGAGTAGTGGAGTCAAGTCAAGTCCCGGCGGTGGGGCCGGGCCTGCCTGCGGCCCGGCCTCTCAATGCGGCCGCGGCCGGGCTGCGGAGCGGTGCGGTGCGGCCCACCAGAGCGACAGCGAGTCCCCCCGGGCTCGCGAAAATCCAGCGAGTGTGTTTCCCCCTCGATTTGTGCCAGGAGCGCATCAGTCGGCAGGAGGTGGCCGCGGCCGCCCGCGCGGTCTCTGAGGCCGGCTGCACCGCGGCGCGGCTCGCCCGGGCGGGTGCCCACCACCCCGCGGTGGGCGGCGGCGGCGGCGGCCACGGAGGTCGTGGCGGTGGCGGCCGTGGCGCGGGCGTGGGCGGAGCAGGGCGGGGCTGGGCGGGGCAGCCATCCATCACTCGTCGGTGTCGCCGCGGAAGTAGTGGCGGCGAGATGGTGGCCAGGAGCGCAGAGCGCACAGGAGGTGGCCGCCCGAGCGGCCTTTCGCCCGCCTTTCGCTCGCTGGGCTCGGCGCGGCGCGGCCCCTCCCCTCCCTTCAACCAACCTCTCCCACCGCCTGTCGCCCGCCCACCCCACCCCACCACGCCCCACCACTGCGCGCCCGCGGCCCGCGGGGCCTTTCTCTCTCTCTCTCGCTCGCCCTCCCCTCCCACCTCTCACCAGCGGCTCTGGCGCACCGCAACGGCGCATCCACCTCGCGTTGCACAACCCACCGCCCTCCCTTCCCCTCACCCACCACCTCAACCAGCCGATCACCGCGCTTTGCTCGCGTCTGCTTCATCGCCGTCGTAGACGAAGCTCGAAACTGAAAGAGTAACGAAAAGAAACGTAATGGGCCTCGAGACGAGCCCAAAACCCTTTTAGTTGTGTAGGTATGGGATCGTCCAGAAAGTACGTCCGTTTTTCTCCGATTCATTTTTGACGATTTACGGCAGCTCGGCGCCTGCGAGACTCGGGGTAGGCCACCCCGCCGTGCACGCATGCCCAGCAGGCAAGATGTTGCCTACCTACCAGGCGCTATCAGAGCCTGCAGGGGCTGGACGTGGGTGGTTCGTAACGGTAAATGACGAACGTTCTTTCTGGATGACCTATTTGCTGTGCAGCACGCACTCATCTGGGCGGCTTGCCTACCCCCACGGGACGGTAGGGCGCTGGGTGGAAGGAAGTACGCAGAGGCTTTGGAACCCCGTCCCATATTTCACTTAAAGTGTTGCATGGGAAACAAACAATAATTTCTAACAGGAAACTAAGAATTTATTGTGGTGATCAACTTCTGTTCAATGGGTTATAATGGACAAGCTGTAATCGAAAATCTGCCTCCAATTACCTTGAAAGTCGGAGGTTGGGGTTTGGTTATCCCTCCATCATGGATATGTATTAAAACTACAACGACTCCCGTAAGTGTTACACATACAAATATATGACAGCCAATTTCGTATCGTGGGCAATAGGCATCGGGTATTCGGTTCCAGCTATCGATCGACTTTTAGAGCAATAATTTGTTTTTGGTGAAGTAAGATTTTTTACAAATTTCGAGCTAGGCTTTTAAAACTCACAACAGTATTACTTCTTCCACGCAATCTTCTATTCGAGGCCAGATAAGGGGTTTTGTAGCTTAAATTGACTACGTCTTAGATGGCACACTAGAGACAACATACGAGGGAGGGGGG